CAAGACTCCAGAATAAGTATGAGCATGAAGCTGGTGCATAATTTGAAATTTTAATTTCTTGACAGTCTAGCAAAAGTTCACTTTATTTTTCCTCTAATAGACTAAGTGTTTTTATGCTTGGTAAAAGCTTCTGAATATAGTCCCACAAACTATTGCAGATATATGTATGCACTTTGCACCAATAGAGTCTGTAGACAAATTGCTGCTGACCACCAGATTTTGTGTTTCTGACTTTTAAATAATGAAAATATTTATACATTTGTGAAAAAATGGCCTGCCACCTTCTAAAAACTGACTAAATTCATTAATTAATACTTATATGGATTTGGTCACAACAGAAATAGAAATTTTGGGAAAACATTTTTTAATCTGTATCCGCTTGTAAAATAGAAATAATAGAAATTGATGATGGTGTGGTTGACGATGACGATTATTCAATTTTGTATGGAATGGTCCATTTATTTGTCTTTGAAATTTATTCACCAGCATTGCACACAAAGATATCCATAGCATTTGCCTTCTTTTAAAAAAATGGCATTTCTCTTTCAGAAGGATCCAATATTATTGGCCATCTATTCTTCCGGCTGAAATGTTTGCCCAAATTGCATGTGTTAGGAGCACTGTTACAGATCTTGTGCAGTTACATAGGTCAAGATATCGTTTTGAATGTCTTATTTTTGAACATGTGGTGATAATTGACATAAAGCAGTGTTTCACAACCATTGTGCCTGTACAAGATTTTAAGTGTGCCACAAAGTTTTATAAGAAATTGTATAATTATTTGCACATTATAGTTAGAAATGGGCAATGTCTTATCTTTCATAATTAGAATTTTTAATATACACTGGTTCATCATTGATAGTTTTTTTTAGCATGTGTTATGTTTTGTTTTTATATGCTTGCAAACTTACAGGGCAAGGATTTGCATGTAGGTACTTATTTATGGCCATGTAAGACAGTTTTGTACCGCTTTTTGCATGAGACAAAATTTTGTGGTGTGGCATCATGCATCTTTAACAAATTAGGGCATGTTGCAAGTGAAGTTTGCAGAATACGGATACAGAGTCATTAGTATTGAGGATGTCTGTGAAATATATATATGTATGACTTTTTTTTGCTCTACAGACCTTTCATTACTGAATAATGTTTTTCATTTATTTGGGAACTTTATTGTAATGATTGAGTTTCACATATCACCATTGCCGTTCAGTAGGAGTAACAAAGGACTGAAGTGATTATTACAAATTTCCAAACTATTATGAAGAAATTTTAAATTGAACTTTATTTGTACCATTTTTACATTATGAATACTCATAGTACATAAAATAACTTCTTGTAACATATGTCTAGGAAATCATAATTAACCATTTGAAGTTGAAGCTCGTTTAATAGTTAAGATTTTACATGAGTGAGAAGTGATATCAGCTACTCACAACTTTTGGCTTGAAATCATGGACTTAGCCTCATACATTCATTTGATTTGCATTGATCCAAATATATCCGAGAGATTTGTAACTACCATATTGCTCTTAACATGCAGAGATGTTACAGGTTTGGCAAATAATTCAAATTTATAACTTCCAAATTCCTGGTTTCATTTGTTGTTAGTATGGTAGAAATACTTTGAACAGTTGTGAGGCTGTTGTGTTCTATGCAAAAGGATGACTTTAGCAAAAATTTCTTGTTCAAAGATATTTCATTTCACATGACATCTTTTAGGTCTGGCCTGCTTGATTTACCTATAGTAGCTGAAGTCTAAAACTGCGTATGTCCAGTGACCCACACTAGCAGCCAGAGACATTACTGTTAGTTTTATGAGCACTATATTCTATCTGTCTTGCAAACAAGTTTATGTTGAATAACTCTTGATTAGATCATCTGATTTGGGCCTTGTTAACTCTGTGTTCAGGGTGATATGGTGATGGGTGGACAAGTGGTCATATTTTTTGTTACGTCATTTCAGTGGTATTACTGCAACAGTACTGAATATTAGTTAGGTTTCATATGGTTAATTGTATGTTTTACATAGTTGTTTAAGAATTGCCATTTGTGTGACATATAACTCTGTTTCAGAGAGTATCCAAACATCTATGGCAAACTGTACTCAATGTTTGAGCCAGAGATATTTCATACAAAATATAAGGCTCGCCTTTTCTACTTATCGGATATGTTTCTGAGTTCCACGTAAGTGTAACTTACTGTAAGGACAAATACTTTTAGTTAATTAGAGCAAAAACCTAAGTGTTATGGGACAGGAGTCAGGAAGATTAGTTATTTATTACAAATTTGGAACTTATTTAATTTTATTTATTTCAGATAGCTGCATGAACTATGAAGTTTTAATCCATGGACAGTAGGGCACTTTACCATTGATCGACTGTATAACTTCATTTTCCAAATTTCTGCCTCCTAATAACTTATCAAGAAGTTAAAATTTTATGTTACTGATTCTTCATCAGGGCATGTCATCATAAGCCATATGTTAAAATTCTGTAAAAAAAATTCCTGTAGAATGGCTTTTTGAAAACTACGTTACAGAAGGAAGACGTGAATTTATCTTCCAGTTCATAGGAAGCAATAAAACACTTTTATCATAGTGCCTGTCACTTAATAAAAATAAACTGGGGGCTATCAATAATCTCATAGAGATTTAAATGAACAGTCCCTGTCTATATGTTAAATTAATTATTGTTTTGTGCATGAGTGAGTTAATTGGACAGTATGGGAAATACTGAAAACTGAATCCTATAGCTATTCTGTTAATATAAATGGAGTAAACAGTGCAAGGAATGTTTTTAAAAAATATGGAACAATTTTATTCCTTGATTATGAAGAGTAGAACTACACCAAGCGAATGAAAAGACTGTTTCGTTCTAGCAAGACCATCAGTCAATATTATATGCCTTTATTCCAACACTTTTTCTTCTAAATGTGGACATACAAGTTCTGATGGAGCATCTTTAACATTTAAAATAAAGTACAGGTCCAATAAAAGTGTCTTTTATAATCAGAGTGCTTTGCTGGTGACTGTTTCTCCCTGTTTTAAAACTTCAGGTATTAGACTATTTATATATGGCCTAAGGAAACATTCTGGGAATATTTTGATTATAACCTATAGTAAAATCCTTAATGAAGATGTCTGTCTTCTGGATTGTAATACTGTATAATCTGGTAGAAGTTTACCAGCATATCAAAGGATCTCACTGCCTCAATCATCAGGGCAGCAAGGACATCTGAAACACTGGTAAACTTCTACCTGACTGCACAGCAGTACGAACTATAAGATAGCCATCTTTCTACTCTCTGCCTTGAGAACCTCAAATCTTACGCAATAAAATTCCTTTATGACTTGGTTTACGCTTTTATTTATTACTCTGTGTTATAGTACTGGGTCTACAATTTATGAGGCTGCGGTTGTGCTTGCATTGCGTGGTCGGCCGGCGCCCCGTTGATGCGGGCGAGAGTTGTGCGTGTTCTTCCGGTGGGTGACCGGTGAATCAGTTTCAGTGCCGCTAGTAACAGCAAACTACGAATATTTTTCATCACTAATACATGTTATTACATTAATTGTTCTTACCTTAAATCACAAAATATGTTCAAAGTGACTTCCTTGTGCTTGCAGGCAACTTAACACCTCGTTAACATGATTCGAAATACTCGACGAAGCTCTTTTTGGGAAATTGTCGAATATTTTCTTTAAGTGCTTCTGCAGTGTGCGGATAAATTGTGAACATTATGTAAATGTAATAGTTAGACCCTTTTTCCAAGAAATGACCGATGAAGAAAAGACTTACGGTTTCTTCATGCAAGACAATGCTACAGCTCACACAGCTGATCGGTTGATGTTAGCATTAAGAGAAGTGTTTGGTGAACAAGTTATCGATCAGTGGCCTCCGCATTCCCCGGACTTAAACCCGTGCGATTTTTACCTGTGGGGCATGCTGAAGAACAAAGTTTATGTAAACAATCTGCACACTGCAGAAGAACTTAAATAAAATATTCAGCAATATCCCAAGAAGAGCTTCGTCGAGTATTTCGAAACATGTTAATGAGATGTGAAGTTGCCTGCGAGCACAAGGAAGTCACTTTGAACATCTTTTGTGATTTAAGGTAAGAACAATTAATGTAATAACATGTATTAGTGATGAAAAATATTCGTAGTTTGCTGTTACTAGCGGCACTGAAACTGATTCGCCGGTCACCCACCAGAAGAACGCGCACAACTCCCGCCCACATCAACAGAGCGCCGGCCGACCACGCAATGCAAGCACGACCACAGCCTCATAAATTGTAGACCCAGTACTATCAGCACCAAAGTTAAACTTTGCAACAATATTAAGAATTAGGAGAGAAGAGACAGATACAGTTATACAAAGAATTAATTCCTTTAAAAATGATCAAGAAATAGTAATTCTAATGGTTCTACATTATATATTTTTAACTTTACTAGGCATTTATCAGAACATTTAGTGGCAGCATTTGCAAAACGCTTGGCACGCCTTACGTTAGTGGCACCACCTCAAGATATCCACATTATTCTGATGTTCATTGGCAACTTGGTATTACGACATCCTGGCCTCAAGAGACTTTTTAATCACCCAACAGGTGGTGAAGGTAAGATTTCATGTTAAGTAAAATTCTGTAATCTGCCACACTTCTGTGATGTTATTCCATACAAGTGTAGAAGAATGTTTGAATTTTTGCTCTGTCTGTCTTAACTGGGGCAGAAACGTGTAATAACTTACATGAAATAAAGTAATTATGGGGTGAAAGGAGTGACTTTAACAGGGATCTGAGTGAGTTACAAATACATATATTAAAGTTAGAACTGTGGTAGCATGTGTGATATATAAAATGAAGTGCATGCCCAATAGAAATGTCTGGTATAATTTTGTTTTAACTAATACTGTCAAGGATTTATGATATGTGTAGAGTAAAAATAGTTTGAAAACATTCAACAAATTTTCTGTGCTTCAAGTGAAGTATAGTTTTTATGTGGCATTGTTAGTATACTGTAGTATAGGACTCAGTTATGGATCATTTTTCTTTTAGAGTTGTAATTCTATTAGAATTATTGTAGAAATGTAGATTGTGATATATGTGTAGAAGAGGGAACCTCTTCTCTCTCTCTTTCTCTTGTTTTTTTCCCCTTCTTCTTCTGCCATGTCAGAATCCCTTAGAAAGGAGAAAATCAGATGAAAAGTTCACATGAGCATACTGGAAAAGTAGGTGATGGGGTGTGTAACATTGGTGAGAAATAAATCTAATAGTTTCAAACAAAATATTTTATTCCTAATAATATACATTTTATGTAACACATTCAGCAACATGAATTTGTAAATGTATTTTTTTTAACATGAACAAATTAAATTTGGAAAATGCTTGCTACATGTTTGGAATCTGTCTTCCTTTCTGCTATATGAGAATGTAAATATAAACCTCCAAAGTTGTCATATGTCCCTAAAGCCACATCACCCAAAGTTAAATCTGTCATGTTTATTATGAATTCTTCTCAGGCTACTAGCTGTGTCAGATGGTTGAATGAGGAAAACACCAATGTTTTGTCTTCGTCCTCAGGGCACATCAGTACCCTGAGGACAAAGACGAAGATGGTTCCCAAGATGTTGATATTTCATCCATTCAGCCACATGTCAGCTGGTAGCCCAAGAAAAATTCATTATGCCTATTTGCTGTAAATGCTTAAGATCATACATGTCATGTTTATTGTACAACAAAAACCAAGTGCTTGAAATTTTCATAGCCCCAAACCAGAGGTGATGTAAGTGTACAGCTGGCATCATATAATTCCACTCACTCATTCTCTCTATGTGTTTTCTTGCATGCCGCTTTTCTATACCTTCCATTAACTACAGTGATCTGTGCCACACGTTTCTGAAACAAGGGCACCAATATGTCTGCCTAATTAGAAGAAACTTGTAAATGAATTACTTTTCTGAGTCCTCCAAAGCCAAAACAGAGGTGAAAGCTTTTCTTTGGTTGGTTATATATGCTCCCTCATAGATCAGTCAGCATGGTTGTCTGTTGATGTTGATGCAGAGATCCTGTTTGCAATTTCAGATCTTAATGTCTAAATATATTTTTAATGTGTGTGTTGTATTTCCACAGATAGGCCTATTCATTTAAATTGTGCACTTGTTATATTATTTAACTGTATATGTTTCAATACTGCCATGTGGATCCCGTACTAAGGAAATGTGGAAATGGATATTGAATTATGCAGATTGTGATGTTTGAAATATGTCTAATTTCTGTGTGTAACACACACATAGTCCAGTAACTGTTTGTTAACAAACAAAAATGAACAGTTTATATGCAAAAACATACTTTAGAATTATTTTTGTTTCACAAAGTATACTAATTACATATTAAAAAATGAATGACTATGTTGGTCCTTAAAGGGATGTTTCCTATAATAAGATACCCAGAATCTTTGAGCTTCAACCACAGATGCAATTTATCTCAGCATGACTCAGCATTACATGTTAGTTCCACTTAAGCCTTGAGAAGTTAATCAAACAATTTATGATAGACGGGTGATTCATAATTTCTTATAAGTATTTGTATCATTGGATTTTAAGCTCTCCATGCTCCCATTGGTTTTCATCATCCTATACTGTGAGCAGTGAACATCATATGGGTTCATCCATGTATCTTTCTGTCCCATTTCCCAGCAACAATTAGCCCACAGGTCATTGTTCTTTTTAAAGTCATTATTCATATTGTTATACTTATGTATTTTTGCACAAATTACATGGCAAGAACACATTATGGGCTGGTCCTGTCTTAGTTGATTCAGCTTTAGAACTACTTGATGGATTTTAATAAAATTTGATGTGGAGCTTGTGCTATTCTGCACAGCCTCAGAATTATACTTTTGAATATCCTATGAGTGGTGATAACAAAATGACAGACAAGGAAAGTTGTGAGGTAGATATTGGGGTGCTGCAATTTGGTGGCCAAAGTGGGAAATGTTGAATAAGGCTAATTTAATGCCTTTAATTGCATGTTGTAAAGAGTGGATGAGGATATTGTGTGTATTCCAGTATGGAATACACATTCTGAGCTTGTTATTGTGAATTGTGTTGTTGCTATCATTTTTATTTGTATACTTACAGTTATTTCTGCTATCCTTTATCTGATTATTCTTATTGTTATTGAAATAATAAGAATGACAATATGAATAAATGATTGCATAGAAATAATAATTTATGTTTTTCTAGCTTGTGTCCATGCCAAGATGAATGAGAACTGTGATTGAAGCTTATAGATTCTGGATCTCTCATTAAAGATACTACACCATGTCTTGAAAACATCCCTTTAATTGCCAACAGAGTAATTAATATTTTTGAGTCATTAATTAGTATACTTTGTGAAACAAAAAACACTATAGTATGTGTTTTTACAAATAAAATTATTTGTCTATCATCAGATTTGAACAGGAAACCTTTTTATCAGAATGATTATGAACTATAAGGCTATACACCAGATTGCATCAAACCGGAGAAAAGTGGGTGTATCACTGAACACGATGGACATTTCCAATACCAATTTAACAATTTTTTTCTGGTTTCAGTGTAATTTATTTTATGACAGATCATTTGTCAGGAATGGGTTGTGTGACTTTTTTATCATCCTTTACAATAGCAAATGTTTGCCACTTTCACAAGCAGCAGCATTATTATTCTCTGAACAATATGTAAATAGTGTGCTTTGTTAATGATGTACATATAATAGAAAAGTATTAAACATTACAATTACTTTTCTTAGTAAGCTTAGATCCATACATCATGGAAGAACGTGACCCTCTCAAGAGTCAGGCTATTGAGAGCTCACTGTGGGAACTACATGCATTGCAGAATCATATTCTACCTAGCATTGCTACAGCAGCGAAATTCATTAACATGCCATTACCATCCGTTGAGTGGGACATGAGCAAGATTCTTGAAAATTCTGCTGATGATGTAAGTAAACCTATAAAAGTCTGTGACAAATGCTTATGCTTTACTTTATTTCATGATTTTAGGAAGTTAACTTACTTTGTAAGATATGTAGTAAGTTCATATACCATATTTTGTGTATGCTTGTACTAATATAAGTTGATACATTTGAAAATTGTATGCAGGAAAATTGTTTTTCTGTATATAAAAAAAAGGAGGGGAAAGGCTGTCCTGCTAATGCCATGTAGGTGCTTGTGGGAGAGGAGGTATAGCTCCAACTCATTTTTAACCTCAGCACTAGATAGGGGTGAGTGGTCAGCCCCAGCCACGTTTTACCACCGGGACCCTAGTATCCATTGGATAGGAGACTGGATTTATCCCAAAGATGGTTGGATGCAAAGGCTAGAGGAAAAAATCCTCTGCCCCTGTCAGGGATCGAACCCTGGTCATTCAGTCTGCAGTCAGTCACTATATTGACTGAGGTACCCTGGCCCCTTTGTATTTCTGTACTCTTATATTTGTGAATAGATTCAAATTGGAATTTTGAGAAAAATTAATATACTTACTCTTTTCCAAAAATATGCTGTGTTGGGCAAATATGTACTTAATTTTCAGCTTTGAAAATTAAGGTGGTCATGTAAAAATTTAGTATGAAGATGACTGACTTCTGTGATGACATGCCCAGTTAGCACATCTGAAACATCAGTTAATTTCTACCAGAGTACATGGCACATCATCTCAGAAGTCAGTCATCTTGAACTGAAATGATTCAGGCTGATATGATTAGGCACTCAGTTTTAATTTTACATCTTAATGGTGGTTATCATTAATTTATAAATGGATAATCCTGCGGTAGTTTCATACAGCGTGTTAAATACTGGCTATATCAGTAAATATAATTCAGAATATTCTAAAGAATATGTATTTTTTACTACTTGTACATGAAATATGGTTCTGTTATAAAGTGTCAGAGAAAATTTTGTCATAAACTTCCTGGGATCAAATTTATTAATAAAGTCAGGTCTGCTGGATCACTTATGGATAAGAAGCACCATTTAAAATGTGTGCTTACTGAAGAGAAAGTGGGAAAAATAGGGGCTAGTTTGAAATACCATGACACTGGCGCATCTTGCGCAGGAGACGAACATTTCAAGATTAGGAGCAGTAAAAGTGACAGAATTGCTTAAACATTGGCCATACATAACAAATTTTAGAAATTACTCATATGGGTCTTTGTGTCAGCCTCATTGTGTTCAGAACTATATAGAGGGACAGCATATTCAGCAACTGTTGACATCCAAATAAGTTACTTTCATTGTTCTTATGGAGGAATTCTAGACTTGTATTGAAATTAATTGCTTGTACTCAGCCAAAGGTAAATTTCTGGCTGGTACTCAGGGAGTGGCAGAAGCATTTGAATATGCAGGAATATACACTGTAGGTCATTAAAATATACATTTGTTATGCCTTTTTGCATGATGTGCAGAACATGAATATATATAAGGCTGATCATGTCTCTCTTCATGGTTTATTGCCTTTTGGTCAGTGGCAGGGAGTGAGTCTGAGCAGTGGTAGTGCTGCGCAAAAGAGAAAACTCAGAATAATTTTTCAACACATAACAATATAAATAAATGAAAAGTAAATTTGCATCAGGAGAAAACCCATACATGCTCGACAATGTTTCAACTATTTGTAAGTCCGGAAAAGGGCGGTCATAATATTTTACATCACTTTTTTCACTCAAAGACAATTTAGAAAAAGTAATTTGCTGCAAATATGATACTCTTCCTTTGCTCATTGTCATTATCAGAACAAAAAATAGTCGGCACACAGAATTATTGAACACTCATTAACAATAACCACGAAACAGATTGCGATTCAGAAACCAGTCTAAAACACGTGGTAACAGGCAAGTGTGTTTACTATGAGCCGGCTGCGGCGACTGCAGCCCCAATACGCGCTGTACCAGTGAACTGCCCCTCACTCCACCTCACACCGCATTGTCTACGTGTGACAAGTGAACGGAGCTGCGAACCTTGCAGCATAGGGACACCGGCTATAACACTGAACTGCCCCTCACTCTTAAGCCCACCGCGCGCTCTACTTTTGACCGGCTAGCCACGCTGAAATCCTTGCAGTTGGATGATATCCCCGTTCTGCTTCGCACTCCTCGTCCTCGGACTTACTGTCAGTTCAGCTGTTTAGTGGATAAAGACAACATAAGGGGCAATATTAAAATTATATAGAGTAAATTAAATGTTACAATTATATAAACACAAAAAAAATCATTTTTTTAAAAATTATAGGGGTTTCTGCAGCTCTTATGGACAGGCTGCCACTGATTTTGGTTAAATGTTTATGGACATTATGCAGTCAGAGGCGCTCTGAAGTCAAACATTGTGGAACATTAATGTTAACTGTGTTAGTTGGATGAATGCTCCCCAACTACTTTTAAATCTCCTGCAGTTGATAACACCATGGTAGATACACAAACTTGCTAGTGCCACTTAATATAGTGTCTTGAAATTATATATGGTGATAGATATTTAAGAAATATGCAACTTGTGTTGAGGTAATCTTTTTGTATAATGCAAAACAATATGGCATCTGCATGAAATATGTATTTAGCTTTTCTTGGATGACAATAGGTACTAAACCATTGGAGCTAGGCATGTGAAATCCAGTTTATAAAACATATTCTGTTCAGAATACTAGATGGTGGGTTAAAATGTATATTTTGCTCAGCCGTGCCAGCTGTTGCTTCTCTACTGTTCCCTTTCTGATTTCATTTAATGATTTCTAGTAATCAGTTATAGCTTGACCACCGGTTCAGAAAGGTATCAAACATACGTGCTGTTCACAACATGAAACTGTATTATTATTATTATTGAGTGTTCTGTCTTACGACAGGTCCATTGCTCTGCCCAAAAAGAGCTCGCCAGTTTTCCCTATTCTTAGCTTCTCATTTTAAAATATATGTTAAGGAATAGAATCTTGGGTTCTGTCTTTCTGCAAATGAGACTCACTGGTGCCCTACAGCTAATATTAAGAAATAAAGCAATTGATGCAGTAGCTTCAGGTAAGTATTTTATTATGTGTATCAAAGGTAGGTGATTCCAGCCACTGCCTGTGAGTGACCCTGAAGAATTGTGTGAACTGACAAAAGCTGGTGTAATTACCAGGTTCATAACATCTCTCAACAATTACTTTCTTTTAAATAAATGGAATGACAGTGCAGAAGGACCAGGATTGAAGTTTCAGATTTTTTAAAGTGTTTTTCAGTGATTGTGATAGTGATACTTACTTAGGATACTTAGATGGCCCTTTCTTCAGTGCCTTGAGCATCTGCGGGTCCCAACTTTCGTTAGCTTTGATCTGTTAGACAGTTGGTAGGAATCCTTGGACGAGTGATCAGTCCGTCGCAGGGCCGCTACCTGTACACAGGACAGCACAACACAGAAAGACACGGACAATCATCCATGCCTTGAGTGGGATTCGAACCCACAGTCACAGTGTCCAAGCGGCACAAGGCCCGCGCCTCTGACCGTGAGGCAACTGTGACTTGTAATAGTGAAGAGTATGTAAATTGAATTGCAGTCTACTCTTCTTTTATTTTGTGAATAAAGCATTAAAACATCATTAAAGCCATTCAAAACAGCTAGGAGCGTTCATCGGAATCCCAAAGTATAAAGAATGTCTGTAGAAGCTGTGTGTTTTATGTACAGCTTTGGCCTTTGGGGATTAGCTGTGTCAGATGTTGAAAATTATCCAGTATTTTTGGCAAACATTGCATTCGCTGTTTTGAGGGTGAATATGCATGCAGTATGGTATGGATTGCACCTTTCCAATCTTGTTATATATAAATTGAGCATTAAATGATGATTATCTTAAATTCATAGTATTTAAATTTGCTTCTATACAAATGGATTTTAATTAATAATAATAATAATGGCACAGTAGTATAATAACCTCACTCTTTAATACATCCACAGTAAAATCATCCATCCTGAGAGAGTGACATAATGTTTTGTAATTGTGACTCTAAACAAATGCTTGTATGAGGAACTGAAATATTTATCTACAGTTCAGACCTTTCCAGGAGGTTGTGCTGAAATCTAAAGTCTTTCCCAGAAAAATGTATTTCTCCGTGCAGTAGCTTTTAATACAAATTTATTTATTGTTGTCCATTTCAAAGGGTTGTTTTGCTTATGTATTTTGGTCTCACTTGTGAGGGCAACAGATTCTGAACAAATTTTTACCCATTTATAAGCTTTTAGTTCTTTTTAAAACATCAAATGTATATTTTAATGTGCTGACCTTTTCCTTTTTACAGATTTTTGAAAAGGAAATGAAGAAGAAGGTGAAAGAAATTACACTGACATTCGACAGACCTCAGTCTTTAACATTGTCAAGGGGAGAAAGAGTGACACAATATTGGACTCTTACATAAATGCATTTATTTTGTATTTCAAACCAATTTCAAATGTCTACTGTAATTATGACTTGTGTATCTTGCAATAAATTTGTCTCCTTCTGTTGTATACATTCAGTTGCTAATATTAATAGAAACATGTAAACCACTAACAGATTATGTAAGATTTGAGGTTTTCACAGCGGTGAGTATGAATATTTCTGTCTTCTGGGTTGTTGCCCTGTGTAGTCTGGTAGATGTTTACCAACGTTTCTGAGGTCATACTGCCTCCATTATCAGGGCGATGAAGACATTGGTGTTTTGTGTGTGATTAGTGCACACAGAATAATTAGACCTATCTTCATGGTGATTATTTAATGCTGCCAGGTACATGAACACTGTCTTAAGCCCATTTTTCTCTTGAGCTAACTGAAGAAGAAAGGCTGTACGGGGTTTTTCCAGGAGCATTCTGCCACAGCTGATATGACACACATAAGTTTAGAGGCACTGCAGGTTTTTGGTGATTGTGTAATTACCTACAGACTGTTGTCCCCACGTTTCCCTGATTTAACACCTTGTGACTTTTATTTATGGCAAAATCACCACATTCTGGAAAAACTCAGAAACAATATCTACCATGAGATTTCAGCAGTTTCTGGGGAAGAACTCTGGGGCCATCGAGCTACAACTACCTTCACCAACTGTGCTGCTGTAGAGATGCAGGAGGTTGAAGCTTGGCCAGGCACCCATATGGCTGCTGCTTCTCGGTTAAATAGAAGGTTGTCCACAATGTATTTTGTAATATCACTTCAGGGTTGTAAAACCATAAACTGCTTTCTCTTACACAAAATTACAGACATTTATATCAATCAGTGACTATGGAAGAAGACAGAATATGCCAGGTTAAATAGCCATTGGCTTAATGTAGTCAGGAGGCAGCCCTCGGTTCACGCCGGGATGCGTTTCTGGGCGAACCGGCGTAAACGGAATCGGCTTAAATTGAAACTTTTATAATGTAAATCAATGGGAAGTCAATGACATGCGCTCCCAGCACCCAAACATTGACGAGTAATACAATGGCATTACATTTAAAGCTCTGAAATAACTTAAATAAAATAAAGGGAATTTAAAAAATATATTTTATACACTTACAATCGGCAATTCGTTGGTCACCTCAATTGACTGCGATTCATTCACGTGTACAGTCATCTCTGCTGTTATGTGATTGTTGCTATCATGTAAGACACCGACCTATAGAGAATTGCGTAGTACAAATAACCCCACAGGGATTAAATTAGTCCTTTGAAAGTTTAAAGCGCCAGGAATGAAATTGCATAATAGCAAACTAGCATATGCAAAAGTTTGCATTTCACAAACAGCTTTTACGGATTCATCGATCTCATTGGAGCAAATTCCCGTTAACGAAACATACGTAATTCCAGAGAAGACTATTTATAATTTTTATTCATAATCAGCGATGTAAGAATTACGATTTAGAAGAAGAATCAGTACGAGATGATGTAGTACTAAATGTGAACTGAATAGCTAACATATTACAAATTACTAGAGGCACGGAGCATAGTCATTACTGAGAAACTGATAGTTGCTCTGCTGAGCCGGATGAATTCTAAATACTCGATGAAGCTCTTCTGGGGATATTGCCGAATATTTTCTTTAAGTTCTTCTGCAGTGTGCGGATTGTTTACATAAACTTTGTTCTTCAGCATGCCCCACAGGTAAAAATCGCACGGGTTTAAGTCCGGGGAACGCGGAGGCCACTGATCGATAACTTGTTCACCAAACACTTCTCGTAATGCTAACATCGACCGATCAGCTGTGTGAGCTGTAGCATTGTCTTGCATGAAGAAACCGTAAGTCTTTTCTTCATCGGTCATTTCTTGGAAAAAGGGTCTAACTATTAAATTTACATAATGTTCACAATTTATCCGCACACTGCAGAAGCACTTAAAGAAAATATTCGACAATTGATTTCGGCAATTTCCCAAAAAGAGCTTCGTCGAGTATTCCGAAACTTGTTAACGAGATGTGAAGTCGCCTGCAAGCACAAGGAAGTCACTTTGAACATATTTTGTGATTTAAGGTAAGAACAATTAATGTAATAACATGTATTAGTGACGAGAAATATTCGTAGTTCGCTGTTGCTAGCGGCACTGAAACTGATTCGCCTGTGACTCACGGGAAGAACACGCACCAGTCGTGCCGACGTCAACAGTGCGCCGGCCGAGCACGCAATGCAAGCACGACCGCAGCCTCATAAATTGAAGACCCGGTAGCACATATAGTATAAATGAGAAATACATATGAGACTTGTAAAAATATATGAAGGAAAGAGGCCACTAAATGTAAAAGGTAACCTTCACTAATCACTCAATCTTCTTTCTTGGCTCTACAACCCAGTTGTGCGTTGTAAGGTTATTTTACACGCCGTAAATGTACGACATGGGATCGCCGAAGGAAGTTGTGCTAAGGATTTTTGTCACCCCCATCGATCTCATCCGGGTTTGAACCCGCGAACCTTGGGTACAGTGGCGAGCGCGCTAACCACTAGTCCACCGAGAGCGAATTAGTCATATCACAGGACAGTTAAGTGACAATTCCAGTAATCTTTGATTTCTAGGAATTTTTGTTTGTCTTTCACTTTATAACTGTAACAAGACCATTATAATGTCATCCACCTTTCTTGCAATGTAATGTGCATGCAGATGATGGATATTCTAATAATCAATACAAGATTAGACTTGAGAAAACAAAAGAGATGGCAATGACAGTCACTTGATAAAGCTGCTGATAGTGCACTATTTGAGAATTTAACGTGTGTCTTGAGGAGCAGTATGGGAATAAGAAATGGCACTTCACAAACCCCTTAAGAAAATATCGATAGTAAAAGAATCGATTAGGGTTTGTAAATAGTAACTAATAGCATGCTGATCGGAAGTGTCCGAAATTTACCTCTTAATTGAAATTAATTATGAAACAAAAGTGCGGAACAATTTTCATAAATCGTGAGTGTGTGCTGTATTGGTTTACCTCCTGCTTGGATTAATTCTGCCGGAACTGTATCAGTGTCTGGTGACTAAACTGTTCAAACTTTCTATATCAATTTCAATCTCAGAAGAACTCTGGTATATTAAATTCGCCTGTCCAGCATCGTTAACCCTATATATCTGCATGCTAGAGAATTAACATTATCATTTTGTATGTACAAAGCCAGTTAAAATGTTACCTATTTTCACATTCGCCTGTGAATCTATAGCTACAGCTTATAAGATTTTTTGTTTCTGTTTATTTCAAGCTCATTTAATTTGTCTATTTTTTGTTATTTCTGTAAGTTGCGGGCTTCTCTCCTTACACAGTCTGAGTTATCTCCATTTTGTTTGGATTCTATAGTGTTTCAATTTGGTCTGCAGTATTTGAACCAGTAATTTTGTGCACTATTTATCGAACTACGCTTTATGCTACTCAACTCGTTATAACCCAAATTATCCTTGATTGAAACTTTCGTATTATTTCCTGTATTTTAACCTGATACTAGTTTTTAACTTCCACATCTTTTAGTTCTTCATACAAAGATTTGTCATCGTTAATTTGTTTACCGAAAGTCTGTACTTGACTTTTGTAACCATAAGGCAATGGTCAATTTCACTGTTAACTGCTCTCAAAGATTTCATATCAGTTGTACTTGAATCTATTGCGGCATGGTGCTAGGACGGTGTGATCACGTTTTGGTGCAGAGGTAATATTTTATAACATTACCTACAGCGGCCATTATAAGTGTATTTGCAACGAATTTGCAAAAATATGCCATTTCTGCCTCTCTATCCATCCGTATGTAACAAACAACACGATAGCCGCTAAACAAGTCCGGTCTTGTGGTTTTCCAGATAATTGAACGAAAGGGATTTCTATGCTGTTCCATTTTGTATAATCCGATAACCATTTGACTGATGTTGATAATATTTTAAATTCGAGGTATTTGCTCGTCCGCTCCGCCTGCTTATTGCATATTTGTAAGAGAATGTCAAACGTTGGCATTCACAAATGGACGGCGGAATACATTACGCGTACATTTATTAACTTATTTTATAATATGTCTGTTGACACCAGTTTCAACGGCGGCTAATTCCAAAATTACAGTCATATTATAGGTACATAGCAGAAATATCAATAATCACGATAAGTGTGTAGATAAACCACACGAGTCCAAAAATAAATTTAGCTTTTAAAATTATATGCAAGAGTTATTAGTGAACTATAAAAAGTTAGGCAACTTTCGCTTTACGAACATTCGCTATAACGAACGTCACAATTCATTAAAATTTTCTTTAAGTCGCCAATAGATAGAGTTCCTCATAAAACGAAATGCCAAACGTACAGTGAACATAATTTTAAGATTTAAATAAATATTTTTTTTAAAAAATGTATTCATTACAATTATCAAAAAATTGTTATATGATAATTATACTGAAATGTTCTTGGTTAATAAAACTAATCTTTTTTTTTCTATGGCTCTCCGGTCCGTATTCGGTCCATTGCCTCTTCAATTCTTCTCTTCCATTCGGTCCTCTGTTAGGTCCGTCTGTCCGAGGCTTTGATTGAGGTTTCAAAACATCTTCCTTATTATGGTGTAAGGTTGTTAGCCTTGCGACCAACCCCCAACCTGGAGGACCAGGGTACCTGTCTTAGTCTGACCTCTCCCCCTCGACCAATCTGGCTAGGGAGGCCCTACTAGTAGCTATGCTACCACCAGAATAGCTCTTGGGGTCACTGAGGTACTCAAGCCCCACCACCACGACAAGGTACAGGTACATTAAGTGGGGAATGAAACTAATCTAGCCAGTAAAAAAACGTTGGTTCACATGCCACGCCACGTGGCGTACGTTACGTATCGTATACGATAAACCATATCGCATACATACGTACATCATAATAAAACGTATTGTATAGACCAGTGGTATTCTACCTGGGGTACGCGTACCCCCAGGGATACGCGAAGACATATTAGGGGATAAGTGAAATTTAAAAAAAAATATTATTTTTTTTTTAAAAAATGTATTCATTACAATTATCAAAAAATTGTTATATGATAATTATACTGAAATGTTCTTGGTTAATAAAACTAATCTTTTTTTTTCTATGGCTCTCCGGTCCGTATTCGGTCCATTGCCTCTTCAATTCTTCTCTTCCATTCGGTCCTCTGTTAGGTCCGTCTGTCCGAGGCTTTGATTGAGGTTTCAAAACATCTTCCTTATTATGGTGTAAGGTTGTTAGCCTTGCGACCAACCCCCAACCTGGAGGACCAGGGTACCTGTCTTAGTCTGACCTCTCCCCCTCGACCAATCTG